AAGTTTCACTTTCATTCTGCCCTAACTTTTATTATTTCTTTCCCTCTATAGTTTGGGGTTTATTTTATTCCTATTTTTTTTTTTTTTGGTACCAGGGATCAAACTCTGGTCCTTGCACTTGTGAGGCAGACGGTGGAACCACTGAGCTAAATCCCCAGCCCTTATTCTTATTTTTGTAGAACCTTCAGATGCTTGAAGTTATTTATTTTGACTTGTTCTATTTTTCTAATATTGGAACTCACAAATGGTTATGAATATCTCTAGTTTATTCTTAATTTCAAATGGTCTTTATTTCTCCTTCATTTTTGAAGAATAGCTCTGTAGGATATAGTAATCTGAGTTGGTGATTATTTTCTCTCAGGGTATGAAAAGCTTTATTCCAAGTCCTGTCCATTAAGGTTTTTGTTGAGAAATCCACTGTTATTCTGGATGGTTTTCCTTATAAATGCTTTGGCACTTCTAACAGCTTTTAATATTGGGTTTTTTGTTTTTCTGAGTTTCTGGCATTTTGACTTTGATGTGTTAATGGAAAAGTTCTTTTCTGGTCATGTCTATTTGTGATTCTAAATGCCTTTTAACCTGGGTACCCATCTTGAATCCCCAGATTTGGGAAAATTTCCACAGGAATTTCAGTGAATACATTTTTAAAGCCAATATCTCATATTTCAGTGCCTCCTTCTAGGCCAATGAGCCTTAAATTATTTCTTTTAGATTTATCCAGAAATTCTTGTGTAGTTTGTTCAGTGGTACTTACTCATTTTTATTTGATCCTGTCTGCACTTCCACTCCATTTTCACCTCCTGATGTTCTTTCTTCTGATTGATCTTGTTTACTGCCTAGTTTTTGACTCATTGAGGTTTTCATTTCCAGGATTTCTGCTTTTCTTTTTCCAGAACATTTGTCTCTTTATTGAAGTATTTTTTCTTTCTTTTCTCAAGACAGAGTCTTGGGATATATTCCAGGCTGGCTTTGAACACACAGCAATTCTCCTGCCTCAGCTTCTGAAGTGCTGGGATTACAGGTGCACACCACCATACCCAGCTGAAGTGGTCTTTTATATTCTGCATTATCTTCTTAGTTCAAACAGGTGCTTATTTGTCTCTTTGAGCTCATTGATCATTATAACTATCAAGTTTTAAAATTCTTTCTCTGGAATTTCATCCACTTCTGCATCTGTAGATCAGCTTTTGGGTGGCATCTTGCCACCTTGTTTTCTCATTTCAGTTGTGTTTCTATGTTAAAGTTTGTAGCACAATTGGGTAGAATGTCTTTTCCAGTGTTGCATGGGGCTCTTTCTTGTAGATGGCTTTCTCTTTCTGGTGTGCCCTGGGTTATGGGTTTCCAGAGTTTCCAGAGTCTCAGAGTTTCCATTCAACCTGGGCTGGGTGCTAGGTTTAGCCTCTAGCTGTGCTTTGACAAGAGAGAGTAAGTCCTTGTGACAGCAGCACTTAAGAAGCTAGCCATAGATTATCTGGTACTCAAGAACCCGATGAGAAAGGTCTCTACTATTTCACTAACTGAGGGGTAGGGAGGGAGAAATACAGAATAGGAGTCTAAAAAAAATTAAGCATTAATGACATTCAGAATATTTCAAGCTGTATATAGTTAAGAGAGGGGAGAGGTAGAGAAAAAGAACAGAAAGAACAATACATCAAAAATAGAGGCTAAGAGCCAGGGATTTAGCTCAGTGGCACCGTGCCTGCCTTGTAAGCTCAAGGTCCTGAGTTCGATCCCCAGTACCGCAAAAAAAAACCGAGGGTAATGATAAAATTTTATTTTATTTATTTTTTCCAGTACCAGGGATCAAACTCAGAACCTTGTGCTTGTGAGGCAGGCGAGGCGCCACTGAGCTAAATCCCTGGCAATAATAAAATTTTAATAGGGAAAGGTGAGGAGAGTGGAGGGATAGAAACAAGTATTTGGAGAGAAGTAGAGAGAATAGAGAAAGGAAGGGAGTATACATGGGAGGTCAGGAGGGAAAAAGGAGATTGTGTCTAATTGTTGATCAAAGGGTCAAACACGTGTAGCTATTCCTGAGGAGCAATCACTAGTATGGGAATATATGATGACACAACATAGGGTACTATGGAGAAAACCAGACAATTAACACAGCTATACTGTGTCTATATATACAAGATCAACCGTTGTCTTACAAAATAAACTATATACTGATAACTATATACTAAACTATATATACTGTCCTGTTTTGATTGGGATAAATATTTCTGGGCAGTTTTTCACTGCTGCTATCTTTGGACTGCTGTGTTCAGGCGCCTCTAGTGTTCTCAGTCTCAGTGGTGGAAGGATTTGTGCTGTTCCCTCAAGTGGTTCTCAGCCTGGTATTCTCAGCCAGCCTCCTCATCTGTCTCTGGAACTCCTGGCTCTCGTTTCTCAGCAGGCTTAGACCCCCATGACTGCAGCGGTATCTGGGGTCTGGAGAGGCTTTTTCAGCTAAGGAAGGCTATTTCTTTTCACCCGCAGTGCCCGTGGGTCCCAGCTGCAGCAGACCTCCGTGTTTCTCTCTGGCACTTGCTTCTTGCTGTTCCAGGTGCCAAGGGGACAGAAACCTGAGCCAAGATTGTCTGGTCCATTACTTGCTGCTTCTGGCCCTGACTCAGTTGCCCGAGACTTTGGCCATGTTTCCCTCAGGGCCTGTGGTGCAGAGATGAAAGCCTGAGTGTGGACTGGTCTGGTTCATCTCACTCTGCTGCCAGCAGTCACAGCTTTTGGCCCTGCTGTGGGCCTCCACATTTCCAGCTGGTTTCTGGTTTCTGAGGTGCTGGTGATAGGGAGCTCTCTGCTGTTATTATCTTGGATTCTGGGTGGAGTCCCAGTGGGAAAACCACTCTGCTGGGACAGCACTTGAAGGTGACTGTGGTATCCACCATGTGGTGTCCACCTCCCTGGCTACTTTCCCCAAAAGCTTTTGTGCATTTCACGGAATTGCTCGATCTTCACACCTGCCCTGGGAGCAGAGCCTGTGAACAGGGAAGCACTTTTCTGGTATTATCTCAGACTCCGAGCAGTGTCCTGGGGGGAGAACCCTGCAGCGTGGCCCTTGCTGAGGGTGATGGCATCTGGGGTGTGTGACCAGCTGAGGCCACCTCCCCATGACTTCTTCCCCAGAAAATTTTGTGCATTTGACAGCATGGCAGTCTCCAGGCTTGTGGCTGGGAGCAGTGCCCTGGTTGGGGATGATTTTGTTTCTTATTCTAGTTTCCCCCTTTCTTGTATTTCACCTGTTCGCTCACCCATTTGGGTCAGAATCCGGTAGTGGATGGTGTCCCTATACCTCACGTAGTCACACACTGACCAACCACAATTATCTCCCAGTGCAGCTTCCTCTACACATGACCTGAAAGCCAGTCTCAAGTCTGAAGTGAAGACTTGCGAGAGTAGAAGGGGTTCATTTCAGAATCACAGATTGTCAGCTTTTGCGAATGGGAAGCAGAAGGGCTGAAGGAAAGGAAGGGGAATGGGGAAGAAAAAGAGGAATTAAGATATATTATGTACAGGTGCAAATTCCCTATGTTGAATTTGATCAATAAGTATGATAAATATGTACTAACAAAAAATACAAAGTTAAAAAAATCACAGGCTGCTGGGAGGGCTGTGGCTTTTCCCATCCTTTCCTATGGTTGCTGTCCTTCTTCCTCAACTCTATAGAATAAAATTTAGGAGCTGAAGGCATCTGCAGACATGGGTGCCTGGAGTCTCATTCCTCAGATGAAACAGTGCCCAGGCAGTGGGATAGGATTTGTTGGTGAGCCCTGGGTCTTCAGGAGCAGGGCCCAGGGAACTGGAGAGAGATGATGGTATGGGCTTGAAGTGGCTTTTGGGAATCCAAGGCAGCAGGACCGCATTGCAGAAAAAAGACTCCAACAGGAGCTGCTGAGGACTCTGCCAAGGGCCGAGAGGGTGCCTGAAAGAGGTTGAGCCAGTGCTGGCTCTCCTGTGTCAGAAACCTTCAGTGCAGAGCATCTCCCAGAAAGGATGTGCCCTGAGTGCTTCCTGAGAGGTCAGGCATGAGTATATGAGATCCTGGTTCTTTCTTTACCCTCCTGTCTCAGCACTGAGGAGGCAGAGGAATAAGCGGCTGCAGAAACAGCCTGTACCCCTCTCACCTTTCCATTTGTATGAGTCATGCCTGATCTGAGGGACAAGAGGAAACATTCATACTTGAGCCTAATGGAATTTTAGTGATCAAAAATGATCAGAAAGCTGCAGGATCTTCCTGAGATGTTATGGGAAAGAGTAACTTAACAGGACAATGAAGGAGAAGATTTGGAAAAAAATAAAACCATTTCATCTTGATATGCTACATGGTGCACCCTGTTCAGTTTTTATCTTGCTTTAGATTACAAGCTCCTGGAAAGCAAGACTTTGTAGCCTGCCGGAGTCCAGCTCCACAGGTTCAGGTCCTGAGAGGAGGTGTGGAGTCGGTGATGAGAGAACGAGACAGACACTGAGTGGAGGGTGGGCAGCTCAGCTTGTCTGTCTGAGTTATACCGAAATCACTTTACTTATATATGTTTTGATTACACAAGGCTTTGGTAAGCACTTGGGTCCATACACAGTGTGTTTTCATACAGAGTTAAAGAAAAGCTGATATCGTCTAAGAAACTACTTTAGACCACCCAGTTCTAAATACTCCTCCGGGTGCTACGTGAACCCTTGCTAATTTATCAGATTTGCATGTGAGGAACAAGAAGCATTTTAGAAAGGTCAGGCTACTTCATCAGGCCAAGTTTCATCAGATCTCATTGTTGTGTGCCCTGCGGGTGTTGGCCAAGGGTGACCAGGTGCCAGACAGTGGGGCGCCTGCGTCATGAATTTGTAGATGTCCCAGTCTCCCTTTGTACGGTCAGGGCATATGGAGGTCACGTCCCCACTACTCGCGGAGGTATGAGTGAGGGGCTTTTCTGTAAATGGATTTACAGTTTCTTCCTGTAATCCCGGCCTAGTAACCATTTCTGAAGTAATGGCTTTTATCCTTTCAGTGATTTCCCGGGGAGCACAGCACCGAGGGAATCACTGCCGCGGAAAGCGAACGCAAAGGACAGAGTTGTGGTTTCAGCCACAGTCTCGGTTTCACTGGAGCTGGGTCAAGCAGCGAGATTGTGACCATGGCCTGCGCCAGTAGCCCCAACGCTAGTACACAGAAGGAGTTCAATAAACATCTGTTGAATGAACAGATAAACAAATTAATATGTGAATAAAGAAGGCAACATGCTAAAGGAAGAAAGCTATCATATCTAATGAATTATTTTAGATATTTATATACTAAAACTTATAAGATATTGAGTAATGAACTGGTCTATGTCCATCCAAGAGAGAGAAGTCACAAGGCAATTTGGACAGGGAAAGTTTAAAGGACTATTATAGACTGAGGATACAGTTCAGTGTTAAGAGTGCATGCTTACCATTTCTGAGGCCCTAGGTGCCTTCCTCAGTAACAACAAAAAATTATCTATGGCAGAGTTTGTGTAATAAGGATATGCTAATAAAGAAATCACTAAGGAATATAAGAATATAAGACGAGCTGCAAGTGGCCGGGAATTTAGCTCAGTGGTTCTGGTGCCTGCCTGGCAAGTGCAAGGTCTCGAGTTCGATCCCCGGTACCAAAAAAAAAAGAGAATAGCTGCAAGTGCTCAGAGCAAAGCATCCCCTCCCCAAACCTGGGTTGTACTCCAGGCCTTGTTGGCGAGGGTATGGCCCTGGCTCACTGAGTGGTAGAGGTTGTGATGGGGGCTCGTTTGTGGAACTTGCTGGAAATCTCCCTTCTTAGCTATCTGGAGAAGCTGTTATTGGCTCATCAGGACACCTACAAAACCACCTAAACAGGCTGCTGGATGTCATAGGTTATAGTACATCGTAGCCACTGCGTGCCAGGAAACTGTTGTGCTGTAGGAGGTGGATGTCAGAGAAGAATCCAGATGTTGGAGCTTCTAAGATGCCGTGGAATTGAGTCTAAAAATTGAATTGTCTTCATTAGTGATTGATAAACTGGGCAGAATTGCACCTGCGAGATAGTTTCTCTGCGGAGCTCAGTGGAGGTGGCTGGCTTTCTAGGCAGAAAAGGCTAAAGAAAGCAGAGGCAAAGTAGAAAACAGTTGGTCATTGCAAAGTTGCTTTCCTCACAGGATTGGAGCAGGGAGGGGAGCTTTCTTATTGTACTGATTTAGGTTGATTTGGCTCCTTTTGATTGATTGATGTGAATCAATTTTTGTTTTGTTTTGTTTTTAACAAAAGGAGGCTTGTTTTGAGTCCAGTTGGACTATGTGACATCTAGCATGAGTGACTATTCTGGCTTGGTCTAGTCTCTTGGGACCTAGCACAGGAGTTCAGAACAGTGACCTTTCGTAAATTTTATTTTGTAGAGCAAAATGACTTTGCCCTGCGGTCTCTTCACTGCCCTCTACTGACAAAACATCCTGTCCATAGGCAAAGTAAAAATGTTCAAAGGGCCCAGATATATTTTCACAGAGCAAGCAGTGAAGAGTGAATTTGATCTGAGAGGATTAAAAGCACAAGGAGCATATAACATTAGTCTGTCTATATCTAAATTGTACTGGTTTGTCCTCTAAAGCAGAAGCTTGTGAATGTAACTTTGCTCTGTCAACTGTTTAGGAATGACAAGGGCATGGCTAGGAATATAATAAGTTCAACAGTTATATTTAAAATTTTATATCTTTTCCATAAGGTTAGGGTATCTGATATATCTTCTCTTGTCTTGAAAAACACTTGCCACCCTCTTCCTATGCATGGTGAAAACTGGAAGAGTTCATTGAATTCTTTTGAGACACCATAAATTCCAAAATACTTCTGTGTAGGTTATCTCACTTGATTGCAGAACAGCCCTGTGGCAGAGGCAGAAAGGCAGTAATTCACTTGTCCACCCATCTACCCATCTATTCAGCAAATACTGATTGGGTGGGCCAATGCCTGGGGTCTGTGTTGGGTTATAGAAGAAAAGGGCCCTCTAGGAATGTGTAGTTTAGACAGGTAAAATAGAAATAGGTAAATAGGACACACTCAATGGTGAGATATATTATAGAAGCCCATAGAACAAAGAGACTAACTTTGTTCCATCTTCAACTACAAATGAGCATTTATATTTCTAGGCTGAAATCTCAGTTTTCCCCAGAGGTGTTCTTAGAATCTCTTCAAGTAAATTTTCAGCTGTGTTCACAGAGCCTGACTTAGACCAAGTTGAGCTTAGAGAAAACTGAGCTTTATCTGTAAAGGTTTTGGGTTGGTTAAAAAAAAGGAAGAAGACTTGACCTGATGTAAAACTTACTATACCCTGTGAAATGGGTATTGCAATCTTCCCTTCACAGTAGGATAAACGGACGCTCTAGGGAGATGACATTTGCTCATAGCACACAGCTAGGACTAAGTGGCAAGGCCTAGACTGGAATCTTCCCTGTTTCTCCAGGCTTTGAAGACATGGTCTGTGTAGCTACAGTATCTCTACTATGTTGCAAAGCTTTTTTTTTGAGAGGGAAACTTTGAAACTTAATTTATACAAATAAGTGATTTTGATTTTCTGTTCTTATTACATATTCCTCCTCTTTTTCTTTTCTTAAAAGGTACTTTTTTTCTAATTCTTTTTTTTGAGACAAGGTCTTACTTTGGACTTCAAGCTGCCTTTGAACTGACTGTGTAGCCCAGGCTGGCCTCGAACTCACAGCAGTCCTCCTGCTTCAGCCTCTCAAGTGCTGGGATTACAGGCATGTGGCCATGCCCAACTAAAAGCCACCTTCATGTGGTCTGATTAACATACAGGAAAACCTGTGTATGCTTAGTGAATGCAATATTTAAATGTACACTGGTTACAGATTGCCTGTGCTTTCTTCTCTGTCCACATTGCAGTGGTGTGGAAGAGATTATCCTATTCTGATGCGGCGTCATTAAACTACTGGGCTTCTTTGTCCAGCTTTGGTGCCTGATGCTGTGGCTGGCTACGTACATTTCAGCCTTGATACCTAGGATCCTCCCTATTGTGGAACTAAAGAGGCTGGGGCTTGCCTTGAAATAAATGTATATAAAAATGTTTAAACCATGGAGATCTCTGCCATGAGTGTAAACAGAATCAGACATTGGTGCATTATGAAACTAGGGAAAAATGTGAGAATGGAATAAACAGTTGTTAATCCAGTGAAACAAAGCAAGAGATCATGGTTTGTGAATTATGTTTTCTCTCTGGTGTCAAGCAGGTACAGAATGTGATCCTTTTTGAAAAAGATTGCTAAGGAAAGAAAAGAACTCTCCATCTGGCCCACTAGTCACTGAATATAAAGTCTGAAGAATGGAATTTTCCTTAAGGGTTCTAAACGTTAACATTGGGTTTTTCTGAGCCTCATTTTAATCTTCATGGGTTTCTGAAAAACTGAAGCTTTGCCCAGGCAGACTCAAGCTACTCTACCTTTTCAAGCATTAGTTTCTCATTTTGGGTTTACTATTTCCAAACACTGACCATTTTCTGTATTGCTTGTCCTCATAGAAGAGTTTATAATTCTCTTTTAAAAAATGTATTCATGAAGTTTATTGGTATGTTTTAGGTATACATTACGATCACATTCATCATTGGGAATTTGTATCTGTACATGATATATCTTGGTTCTTATTTTTTCCTATTTCCCTTCCCTCTCTTCAACTCCTCCATCCCTCCATATATACATATGCTTGTTTCCATTTTTCCCTTCTTTTTTTTTTTTCAATTTTTTTCTTTGCCTTCTTTCCTTTCCCCTGCTGCCCCTCCCTAGTTCCTTTTTCTCTTTGAACCTTTTCTTCCTATTTCACACTATCTCTTATACATTTTGGTCCTTATTTACACTTTCAGTTTCTCACACCAGAGAAATAATTTGGTATTTACACATGTACGGCTTATTTATTTCACTTAAGAGTATGGGGTCAGGGTCCATCCATTTAGCTATAAATATCAGGAGAGTTTATAATTCTCTTGTGGAGGGTTTTACTTGAAAATGTCTACATGTTGTAGTTTTAAAAAATATTTTGAGCAATGAAATGAGAAGGGATTATATCTAAGCACTGTACTGTTGCTTTTGGCGAATTCAGCATTTCTAACAGTGTGGCAGAGCTGTTCAAAGTGTGGGCACCGTTGTCAAGTGGACTTGAGTTTGAATCTCAGTTTTAAAAGTTGCTTCTTATTAATTTTTGCTAAGTTATTCATCCTCCTTGAGACTCACTTTCATTACCCAAAAAGTGGTTATACCTGGTACCTGCTGTTGATCCACGTGTTAACTTGAGGTGGGACATGTGTGACAAATGGCTTGGAGCACCTCGTCCCTCTCCCTGTGGAAGCATCCTTGGCTGGCCCCTGTCATCTCTCCAGGTTACTCTGCCTCCTCCTCCTTGCTCTGCACTTCAGGGCCTCGATGCACTCAGGCTGCTGCTGCTGCTGCTTCTTCCTCCTCCTCCTCCTCCTCCTCCCCTTTTCTTCTTCTTCTTCTTCTTCTTCTTCTTCTTCTTCTTCTTCTTCTTCTTCTTCTTCTTCT